GAGGCACTGGGTTTGATCCTCAGCACCACATGGAAATAAATAAATAAAATAACAATATTGTGTCCAACAACAACTAAATATATATATATATATATTAAAAAAGTTATACTAAAGTTATATAAATAAAATATATAAATAAATAATAAATAATAAATATATAAATAAAATATAAATAAAAGTTATATATATATATATTAAAAAAGTTCCAGGGACATGGCTCAGTGATAAGGTACCAATGAGTTCAATCCCTGGTACCAAAAATGAAAAGAAAAGAAAAAAAAAAAACAGAAAAGAATATTGTTTCAAGTGATTTCACAACATGTAAAAACAAAAGATTCCCATGCCCAAGAACTGAAACACAGAAAGAAGGAGTAGTTTCATGTGCTGGGCAAATCATGCAAATAATTGTTTTCTCGTTTTGACATTGATATAATTATATTTGTATAGTAACTAAAAGAAATTCTTATATCAAAAATAAATATAGAAATCCTAATCTAAGTTTAATTGTTAACTACAGAACTATGAAACAAACCCAAGTACAATATATATATATATAGAAAGAAAAAAAGGCCATAAACCCAAAATGTATTTGTTTTGGTACATTGTTCAACTCTGGGATCCCTGAGAATCAGGACTCAATCTACATAGCATGTGACAAATAAACGTTGAATAAAAATGAAGTCAATTATGGGTGTTTTAGGAAACATTTTGAAAGAACCAGGGAGAGAGAAGGCTTTGTGATTTTGATATATCACCTGGAATATTATTAGAAATGCAAGATCTCAGGTTCTATTCAGAAGTACAGAATCAGAACCTGTGTTTTGAACAAGGCCCCATGTGATTTGTATCCACAGTGCAGATGGCAGAAAAAATGAAGGCAGCATGTCAGAACACTATAGAACATTTCAAAAGCCCACCACCAAGAGGAAACACTGCAGTTGAGCACTCTACCAAGGTTCTATTTCACTCTCTAACGGATACAGCACACACAGGAAGTGCACTGGTTAGGTAAAGTCAATTTCCTCTTTAGAAAGAATTCAAAAGCTCCTTCAGCAGTTGCAGACCCTGACTATGTTTTGTTTTTGTTTCAGAACCTCAGGAAAAAAAAAAAAAAGGGAAGTAAGTGAACACAAACAGCGAGAGAACTATGAAAGGAAGAATCCATTTCTAAACCCACCTCTTGTGCTCTGATTGCAAATTTGGTCCCTTGCCATTTCAAACTTGATACTACTACTTTGGGATCTATCTCTTCTCCCAGAAATTCTCATTTAATATCAAGTTCATTTTCTTGGCTTTATGAAACTAATTTAAAAATGGGAACTTCACTGCTAAATAAATTTCCTCCTGTTTGACATGGTATCAATGGTCTACTGTGTTCACAGTTAACTCTTTAAATCTTCACAACTCTGAGAGATGAGTCTGCATTGTTTACAACTGAACTCTATAGGGCCCCCCAAACAGTGTGACTCCCAAGAACCATTCTCTTTCTGCTACACCAAGTTGTTTGGTACTTACAGACCTTGTTTTAAAGAGTTCTCAGGAAAAACTGTAAATTATATATTGGCTACAAACACTTCTTCCTACAACATGTACTTTTTGCCCCTACATAAAGCATTGTATGGCAACCATTAGCCGGAAATGCTACCACATCATTTAGGGCAAAAACAATTCTCACAGCTTGTAACAAGGTAGATTTAAGAAGAAAACAAACAAAAGAAAAGTCAAGGTCTAAAAGGGAAACTATAACACATTGTATATATTGATAAAACGTAACCTGAACTCATTTACCACTAAAACCTCTAGTGTAACAAACCCATTAAACATATTTACAAAGTTTCTACTTAAGCCGACTCTAGTTTCAAAGTAACTATTTTACAGTTTTAACAGGATGATAAACACACAAAAAAATGCCATTCATCAATACTAGCTAACCAAAGGCCTAGAAAATACAATCCTCCAAAACAAAATAATTGACATATTTTCCTTCAGAGTTTATAAACAAAAAGTCATAAAATCTATGGAGAAAGTGATTTAAAGACCTCTAGTCTTAAGCAGCAATATACAATTGCTATGTCAATATAACATTATATTTCACCAAATAAGTTTTAATGGTTTGTAACGTGAAATCTATGCTATCATCTCTAAAACATGAATGTGCATGACTTTCTAGAAGAAAGAACATTTTTCAGGTTTAATCTAAGAACGTATTCCCTCAATTGCTCGACCAATAAAAAACTAAAACCTGGGTAAAATTAACACTCTTTCTTTAGAAACTATTAGCTGCCAGGTGAGGTGGTGTACACCTATAATTCCAGCAACTTGGCAGGAGGATCACAAGTTCAAAGTTAGTGAGGACTTAAGCAACTTAGCAAGGCCCTGTCTCAAAATAAAAAATAAAAGAGCTGTACAAAAAAAAAAAGAAGAAGAAACATTAGCTAATAAGAACGCAATGATCAAAAATAAAAGATGAAGTAAAGGGCTTGGGTAGAGGATCAGTGGTAGAATATACACTTAGCATGTGTGAGGCCTTGAGTTCTTGCCAGAACCAAAAAGGGAAAAAAGGAAAAGGGTGGGGGGAGGTATAACATAGTCAACTGAAATCGAAGAATCTAACCAAAATACTGTCTCTCTCAGTTCATATGAAATGCACAACATTAGTTATCTGTCTTTGCACTGACAAAGATATCACTCATTAATAACAACAGCAACCATAACAAAGCAGTAGGTATCATTTGCTGAGCACCTGGTGTGCCAGGAACTTACATGGTTTCACTTAAACC